GATAGTCTCGATCTCCTGACCTCGTGATCCGCCCACCTCAGCCTTCCAAAGTGCTGGAATTACAGGCATGAGCCACTGTGCCCAGCCCAGAATGCTTTTCATCTTGAAAAACCTGAGTGCATTTTTATGTTTAATTTTATTGTTGTTATTTTTTTGAGACAGGGTCTCTGTCGCCCAGACTGGAGTGCAGTGGCATGATCTTGGCTCACTGCAACCTCCGCCTCCTGGGTTCAAGTGATTCTCCTGCCTCAGCCTCCTGTGTAGCTGGGACTACATGTGAGCACCACCATGCCCAGCTAATTTTTTACTTTTAGTAGAGGTAGGATTTTGGCTTGTTGGCCAGGCTGGTCTCAAACTCCTGACCTCAAGTGATCTGCCTGCCTCCACCTCCCAGAGTGCTGGAATTACAGGCATGAGCCACCGCGCCCGGCCTCTGAGTGTGGTGGGGTTTTTTTGAAACGGAGTGTCATTCTGTTGCCCAGGCTGGAGTGCAGTGGTGCCATCTCTGCTCACTGCAATCTCTGCCTCCTGAGTTCAAGTGATTCTCCTGCCTCAGCGTCCCGAATAGCTTGGATTACAGGCATGTGCCACCATGCACAACTCATTTTTGTATTTTTAGTAGACACAGGGTTCCACCATGTTGTTCAGGCTGGTCTCGAACTCCTGATCTCAAGTGATCACCTGCCTTGGCCTCCTCTAAGTGCATTTTTAAAAGATATTGAAATGTTTGAAGACTATTCTGTGAAGGCAGGAATGTGAGTAGATTTATAAGTCCTGTCTGTCTGTAATAGGCATGTTGCTGTTTAGCTCTGGGAGCTCAAGCTGTTATAGCTGTAGGAAGAACTCAAAAGAGCAAATCTCGGAAGGGATCATTTTCCCTAGGGTTTCAGAAGACCAATCTGAATGCTTACCTTTTGTGTGTGTTTGGCTTTGATATTTTCATGGGCTTGTGAAAAATGCCATTTCAGAGTTGACTTTCAATGAAATTGTCTGAAAGCACATACCTGGTGTATCAAATTGGGGACCCTTAGTTACCTAGCCTCTCAAAAGGAGAATGATGAGGGTAGAGTGAAAGCTAGTTATGCTGCCTTACCATAGTCAGTTTGGTGAGTGTTAATGGTGAGTTTCCTTTTGAGAAGAAATTGAAGCCTCTTGAAGGGTTTGCAAAGTCTTTTTAAGGCATCACGGAAGCCTGGAGTATTATTGCTTTTCTTGTTTTAGAGCTGAAATTACGAAGAAAACACATTTTATGCATACTTCTTCAAGTGAAAGTCACAAGAATGTTCTTTTTTTTTTTTTTTGAGAGAGAGAGAGTCTCACTCTGTCGCCCAGGCTGGAGTGCAGTGGCGCCATCTCGGCTCACTGCAACCTCCGTCTCCCAGGTTCAAGTGATTTTTGTGCCTCATCTTCCCAAGTAGCTGGGATTACAGGCGTGTGCCACCACACCCAACTAATTTTTGTAGTTTTAGTAGAGACAGGGTTTCACCATGTTGGCCTGGCTGGTCTTGAACTTCTGACCTCAGGTGATCGCCGGCATCGGCCTACAGGCATGAGCCACCATGCCCAGCCACAAAAATGTTTCTGATTTTTGTCCCTGATGATCTGAGATTTTTTTTCTGGGTCTAAAATTCTGTGATTTCTTCCAAAGTCCGGAACCCAAAGAAAATTGATGTTCTTATGCATAGTTCTCTTAAATCTAGAGAATGAATGTCAGACATAGAAACTGATTATCTTTTCTAGATTAGAGGATAGGATCCTGAAGAGGAAGTCATAAGTGACTTCCCCAAGGTTACATAGGTAAGAAATAGCAGAGCTTGGATTCAAACTCGTGAAGGTTGGCTCCAGAGTCTATACATTTAATCTCTTACTATGATTAATAATTATGTAATAATTATTATTTTTAATAGAGACAGGGTCTTGCTATGTTGCCCAGGCTGGTCTTGAACTCCTGAGCTCATTCAGGAAAAGATCATAAGAATTGGAGTCTAGTAAAGAGTATCCAGAGATTTTTGTGTTGAGCAGAATTTACACATAAACATAATTGGTTTAACTGAGTGTGGTGACATGTGCCTGTAGTCCCAGGTACTCAGCAGGCTGAGGTAGGAGGATTGCCTGAGCCCAGGAGTCCAAGGCTTCAGTGAGCTGTGATCCTGCCACTGCACTCCTGCTTGGGCAACAGAGTGAGACCCCCACCTCTAAAAATAAAAAATATGGCGTGTAAATTTACTTGTAAGAGGTAAGAAAGGAAGCTCTATGGCTGTTTCACATTTGTGTCTGCTAGAACATTTGGATTTTTTTTTTTTTTTTTGAAGCAGAGTCTTGCTCTGTCACCCAGGTTAGAGTGCAGTAGCGTGATCTCAGCTCAGTGCAGCCTCTTCCTCTCAGGTTCAAGTGATTCTTCTGCCTCAGTCTCCCGAAAAGCTGGGATCACAGGTGTGCGCCACCACACCCAGCTAATTTTTGTATTTTTGGTAGAGATGGGGTTTCACCATGTTGGCCAGGCTGTTCTTGAACTCCTGACCTTAGGTGATCCCCCCACCTTGGCCACCCAAAGTGCTGGAATTACAGGCGTGAGCCACTGCACCCAGCCTGGATTTCTTTTTTTAAAGTGTGCAGTTCAGTGATACTATCCCATGTGTTTGGTTTGGATTATTCTGTGTAAATTGGATTTGTCTGAAAAGAAACTCCACAGGAGGCAGAATTACTCTTATTTAAAATACTCATGTTTTCAGTGGTGGTACACAAAAATTCATAGAAGATTATGAAATGACCGGATGCAGTGGTGCATACCTGTTAGTCCCAGCTACTTGGGAGGCTGAGGTGTGACGATCGCTTGAGCGCAAGAGTTTGAGACTAGCCTCAGCAACATAGCAAGACCCTGTCTCTTAAAAAAGAAAGAATATTATGAAATATGAGTTTTTTTTAAATTATAAAAAGTGAATGTTTTTCTGTCCATTTCTACCCAGTTAAAAAGTAATTATCCTCCTTTGTGCCTATTGTTTTTATTAGACAGATTCTTTGAAAGAGCAAATCTAAGTTGTGGCTTTAGTCATTTAGGATTCCTTCAGGTGGTGTTAGTGCATGAATTCAGCCAATTCTATTTGTTTATTTGTTACTATTATTAATAATAACAATAGAGACAGAGTCTTGCTGTTTTGCCCAGGCTGGTCTCAAACTCCTGAGCTCAAAAGATCCTTCTGCCTTGGCTTCCCAAAGTGCTGGGATTACAGGCCCTCAGCCAGTTTTCTTTGAGTGCAGACTCAGTGTTTTCTCCATTTACACACTGGAACTAAAGCAAAAGAGGAGGGTAAGGGATGTGATTGGGGTTACACTTTGCTTGTACTTTTTCCCTACTTCTAGAGCCTGGTCCTGTACACTTTTTGTGATAGCCAGTGTTACTCTCAGCATCTCACTGTCCCTTGATTTGTTCCTCGTACTGGAATTAAGGGAGGATTATTGAGCCTTAAAACTTAGTTTTGTCTTAGTGTGACTGAAAAGTATTGGTATAACTTTCCTTGTCATAATCTTTGCCATTCCTGTGACTTATAGGGATTTGGAGAAAAATATTCAGATGGCACAATATCATTAACCTAAATTTGAAGACATTACTAGCAACACCTTTTTTTCCCCCATCACAAGTATTTTTGTTAGTCCCCAAATTAGTATTTTTGGTTAAATATGTCATTGCAGATCCAAAGTTTTACTTTTTATATACTGTTTATTGGGTTGTATAAAGTCGTCTCTCATTCCAAAAGAATATTTTTGCTGTCAAAAAGTCTCTGAGTAAATGGAAGATATAGTTGTTTGACATCAGAAAAAGATGAGTTATAATTTCTATAGTTTACTACATGTTGGTGTTCATGCTCAGAAAAATTTAAATATTTGTCCTCAACTACCAAAAACTTAAAGTGGTTAAACATAATCATGCTGTAAGATTTAATTAAAAATTTTTGTACTAAAGGGAAGTTGCTAGGAAATAGAGCAATAATTTTTGTTAATTTGGAAACCATGGCAACACAGTAAATATTATGTCTCTTAATTTGTCTTTCAGTGTTTTTTTGGCATGAGTGTCATGGAAGAGTAAACAAAATTAAACACAGTGAACTCTGAGTCTTTGCTACCTGAGTTAGTCATTTTCTTTGAATGTTTTACTTTCTCAAATTTTATATTTCAAATTTCTTGAAATTAAAGCATAGTCTTTAAAGGCCTAAATTGTACATTATCTCTCTTTTGTCCATGCCATTTGCATAGGTTTTATATTATGGATGTATGTGCGGCTGGCAATTCCAGACCTTGTTGGCTCAGTTTGGTGCATTTCTGTCAAATTATGAGTTGTAAATTTGCCTCCTGTAAAATAGCAGTTTTAGCACCATCAACACTGTGATACAAAAGTTTTAAAGCTAGAGGATTTTCTTCTTTTAAAGTCATTTGAGTGTGTTTTCATGTACTACTGTAGTATTTTGTTTTGTTTTGTTTTGTTTTTGACATGAGGTCTTGCTAGGTTGCCCAAGCCAGACTCGAATTCCTAGGCTCAAGTGATTCTCCCACCTTGCCTCCTGAGTAGCTGGGATTACAGGCACCACTACCATGCCTGGCTTGTTTTTGAAAAACATTAAGATTTTGGCAATAATATAAGTATCCATGAGTCCAACACCCAGCATTATCAAATGTTAACATGTTGTCACAGTTGTTTCAGATCTTTTCTTTAAAATGTTACGAAGAAAGGAAGGGAGAAAGAGATATAAACCAAGTTTAAGGTCCTTTGTTTCGTTCCCCAGGCCTATCCCCCTCCTTCCTCCTATTAAGGAATCAGTGTGATAAAATAAAAATGTGTCCTTCCTGTTCATGTTTTAAAAGTTCTAATGACTTCTGGTCCTGCCACCTGGAGCCAATGTAGCTATGAGGGGCTGTGTCTTGCCACCACTGCCCAGGCCAGGCATGGTGTTGGGTGTCAGGCCTGCCTCACATGTCTTGGGGTGCCCAGGGTAAAGGCAGGAGTAATGCTGACACCTGTAAGCAAACTGAAGTGCGATGACAGTCTCAAAGGGTCTGGGATGTCAGCCATAGTATCTGGCCCCACTCAGAGGGTTCTGTGAGAGACAAGTTGATTGTTAAAGAGGTTGCAGAGCTTGAGCTTATTTACCTTGTACATGTCAAGTGTATTTCCTGATCTAAAAAGCTTCATTGCTTTCTGCTGACTGTAACCCCAGACAAGGGTTACTACCAGGGTGGAAAATTTCAGCTCGAAACTGGACTTCCTGATGCTTGTAACATGGTGCCTTCCAAAGTCAAATGCCTGACCAGGATCTGGTACCCCAACATCACAGAGATGGGGGAAATACATCTAAAGTCTACTGAGGACATTCGATTGACAGCACTGGCTGGGCTCCCACGAGAACATTGAAGGATGTTGTTTGGAGATTAAATTATTTGTTTACTAATCTTCTGAATTTTGACGATCCACTGAATGTTGAAGCTGCAGAACATCATTTGTGGGACAAGGAGGACTTCTTGAATAAAGTAGATGACTACATCAAGTGTTAATGCCAGATGATAAAAGGAGAAGATTGCAGGCCCGTGGATTGTGTGTTATAGTTTGTCTCTAGCGTGAAAAAGCAGCAAGAGGCAGCGCCTCCTCTCCCCTGTCCCCTGACTCTCCCTCTCAGTCCCCCTGCATTGTCCCAGTCCTGTGACCATGTTGTCCTGAAGAAGACCATCCTCATGACTGCCCATTGTAGATGGAGAATTCAACATAAAGACAGCAAGAAAACGTATTGGGTTTCTAAAGAATTATCTGCTTACCTTATGTTTTAGGCTGTTCTTTCATTGCTAATAGACAAGACTGAGTAATTTATAAAAAAAAGAGCTTATCTTTTTTTATAAATTATCGTTCTGCAGGCTGTGCAAGCATGGCACTGGCATTTACTTGGCTTCTGGGGAGGCCTCAGGGAGCTTTTACTTATGGTGGAAGGTGAAGCAGGAGCAGGCATGTCATGTGGTGAGAGCAGAAATGAGAGCGCAAGGGGGACAGCCAGATCTCATGAGAACTTAACTGTTGTGTGGACACACCACGCTGTGAGGGATCCACTCCCATGACCCAAATACCTCCCACCAGGCCTTACCTCCAAAACTGGGGATTACATCTCAACATGATATTTGGAAGAGACATCTAAACTATATCATCTTAACATGTTTACTTTTTTGAACTCATATTGTTTAGGCTGTTGGTGATGTTCTTGAGAAGTTGTAATGGACCCAAAATTGAGGCTGGAGCTTTCTTATTCTTTTCCCAGACAAAATTGGTTTTCTGCTGAAGTGATGCTCATGATGTGTTCAGTGTAAATTGCAGATTGGAATAAGAAACCTGCTACAAATTGTGATTGGATGCAAATGCCCTTAGTGTCCTCTGTGCATGTTGGCCCTATCTAGATGTCGTGAAGTTTCCCAGAATGCATAAAGTCTTTCACTGTAGACATTTTTATTGAAATGCATATTTTATTTAATTTAAGTATATTTTGGACCAATTAAATTAATTTTTTACAATGTAATGCTTTATTTTTTGTATTCTCATTTTGTATTTTGTATTTTCATTGTATAGGGCAAAGATGTTGGGTTGGCCGAGGGTGGTGGCTCACACTTGTAATCCTAGCACTTTGGGAGGCCGAGGTGGTGGGCAGATTATGTGAGCCCAGGAGTTGAGACCAGCTGGGGCAATATGGTGAAACCCTGTCTCTACAAAAAATACAAACATTAGCCAGGCATGGTGACATGTGCCTGTAGTTCCAGCTACTCAGGAGGCTGAGGTGGGAGGATTACCTGAGCCCAGGGAGATCGAGGCTGTGATGAGCCATGATCGTGCCCTGGGCAACAGAGTGAGACCCTGTCTCCAAAAAAAAAAAAAAAAAAGGAAAAATGTTGGGTCAGCCACCTATTGAAGAGAAATACAAAGAAACTATGAAAGACATTATTCGTTTTGTCCAAATGCAACAAGAATATGGCTCTGAAAAGTCATCTCTTGCTTTCAAGTCCACATGTGGCAAGGACATTTTGGAGCTCTTTGAAACTAGATCTGGATGATAAAAATAAAAACAAACAAACAGAAAGGCAGGAAGCCCATTCTCACATGCCACTCAGAGGAAACTGGCTGGAGCTGGGACCTGCTGGGGTTGGTGTTCCTGCAGTGGTCATATGATCATGAGCCAGTAGCTACTTCTTAGAGTGCCAGACCCTGGCTGCCCTGAGGGACAGGAGAGATACCTCAGGAATCAGCCCAAACAATGTCTGATGCTACTGAGACTGTACCTGTGACCACCTTCTTATTTGCTTTGACTCCGCGCCCTGCCTGGGGGTGAGCCTCTTAGGTCTTGGAGGACCAGGATTCAGCAGCAGCATGTGCCATACTTGGCCAGGTTAACACACATTGGAGGAAGAGCCCAGAAAAAAGACAGGTGGATTTATTCCAGTTTTTAAACATTTGAACTAATGAAATCAAATGAGAAATAAATGTTTGTCTGGTTTCAAAAAAACATTTTAATATGTATCACCATAAACCTTGTTTAATGGGTTTTTGTATATTGCCTTCTAAGAGCTCTATAGACACAGGGGTGTAAAGCAGGTAGCACTATGGTGGAAAACTGCCAGAATAGTAAGTAGTTCAGTATAACTGGAGAGGGGCTAGGGAATGGGAGGAGGTGATGTTAGAGAGGAAATAGGGACCAATCATGAAAGGATTTGTGTGCTGAGGAATTTACTTTTGATTTTCAAAGCTGTGGGGAGCCATTAAAGGGTAAATCCTTTTTCAGATTTGAATTACAGTATAATTGCTTTAGCCACCCAGTGGAGAGTGAGTGGTGGAAGGTAGAAGGCAGAAAACAGTTAGGAAGCTGTTATAGTTTTTGATTTATTTTTTGAAGCAGGGTCTCGCTCTGTTGCCCAGGCTATAGTGCAGTGGTACAATCTTAGCTCACTGCAACCTCCGCTTCCTGGGTTCTGGGACTACAGGCATGCACCACGACACCCAGCTAATTTTTGTGTTTTTTGTAGAGATGGGGTTTTGCTTTGTTGCCCAGGCTGGTCATGAAGCTGTTGTAGTTATCTTAGTGAAAGATGATGAGAACATGAAATAAGACAGTGACAATGGGAATACAGAGGAAGGTCTGGATGGAAGAAATAGTAAAGAGAATCTTGATGGGAGCAAAGTAGTTGAGACTTAGCAACTGAATATGGAGGGAGAATAGAAAAGAGGAAGGACCCTTATGATGAGTCTTTGTGTCATATTTTGGGTGATGGGGTAGTTGATGGGGAATATAAAAAAGAAGAGGAAGGTTAAGGGAACGATTATAAATTAAATTAGGGTTGTATTGAGTCTGAGGTTCTAGTGGGAGAGCCTCAATTTTTTTTTTTGGATACGGAGTGTCACTCTGTCGCCCAGGTTAGAGCACTGTGGCAAGATCTTGCGCTACCATGCCTGGCTAATTTTTGTTTTTAGTAGAGATGGGGTTTTACATGTTGCCCAGGCTGGCCTTGAACTCCTGAGCTCAAGTGATCTGCCCACCTCTCAAAGTGCCAGGACTACAGGCATGAGCCACTGTGTCCGGCCTGAATAAAAAAATAAATAAATAAAGATGCTTTACAAATTTGTATGTCATCCTTGCACAGAGGCCATACTAATCTCTGTAGCTTTCTAATTTTAGTATATGTGCTGCCATAGTGAACACAGCCTCAATTTTTAATAGCCAGTTGGATCAGACTAACAGTATGACCCAGAAGAGAATATAGAATGAAATGAGCAAGAGCTGAAGCTTGAAAGCTTTGGTTATATTAACATTTAGGATGCTAGCTTATGAAGGATTCTGAAGGAGAGAGAGGAGAGAATAAAGAGGAAAACCAGGAGACACTAGTATTGGAGAAAGCTGAGATGAGAGTTTTAAGAAAGAATGTGTGTTTAGTGATAGCAGAAGTCCAGAAAAGACAGATGAGATAAGAATAGAAAAATTCTACTGGGTTTGGTAGTTAGAGGTCATTAGTGACTTTTGTGATGAGCAATTTCAATAAGGCGATGTGAGCAGAAGCCAGATTGCAGTCATTTGAAGAGAGTGAGAAGTGAGAAGGGAGGTGTGAGAAAGCTTAGCTGTAAAGAGAAGATAGGGTAGAATTGGACCCGGGTGAGATTTTTTGCTTGCCTTTTAAAGATCAGAGAGACTTTGAACCTAGTTATGATGAAGAGAGTGAACCAATAGAAGTAGAGAGCAAAGACCCAGAAGAGAGATCAGATGATTGGGACAAAGTCCAGGGAAGGACATTATAAAATGGAGGGCGTGTATGGGTGTGAGTGTGTGTGATGGGGCTTGGGAGGGTTTGACTTTCAACAACAGAAGAGACAGCTCTTCCAGTAGAACCACAGGGAAAGTAAGAAAGAAGGGAAGACTGGGAAGTCTGTTAGTGGCTTTGGAGGGTGTGGAGGGAATGCCTTCTAAAGACCTTAAAATGCCTTCTGTCATGAAAACATTGGCACAGGAGGGGAAATACTAAAAGTATCAGAACTGGAATAATGAAAGAAGTGCTGAACTGATAAGGTCTTGCAGAGAAACTTTTTCCATTGATAAATCAGATCATTTACATTATATATCTTGGAAATACCTTCCTGTTTTTGTTGTTGTTTTTTAAATAGGCTACACATTGATTGGTACCCATTTTGTTTTTAAAAACCTTGTATGATTCATTGTGCAGTAGTCTCTTCTTCATGTGATTTTGCTTTCTGAGGCTTCAGTTACTTACGTTTGACCATAGTTTGAAAATATTAAATAGAAAATTTCAGAAATAGTTTGTTTATTTTTGTTTAAATTGTGTGCTGTTCTGAGTAGCATGATGAAATCTCGCATCATCCTGTACAGGACATGAATCATCCCTTTGTCTAGTGTATGTACACAGTGTACGCTACCTGCTAGATAGTCTCACGGGAGCCGGCTCTGTTATCAGGTTGACTGTCATGGTATCACGTTGTTTGTGTTTGAGTAACCTTTAGTTTATTTAATAATGACCCCAAAGAGGAAGAGTGATTCTGGCAATTTTGATATGCCAAAGAGAAGCCATAAAATTCTTCCTTTAAGTGAAAAGATGGAAGTTCTCAACTTAGTAATGAAAAAAAATTGTGTGCTGAGGTTGCTAAGGTCTATTGGTAAGAACGCATCTTCTATTCATGAAATAGTGAAGAAAGAAAAGAAAAATCTGTGCTAGTTTTCCTACTACATCTCAAACCGCAGAAGTTATAGCCAGTGTGTGTGATAAGTATATTATGATGGAAAAGACTAGATTTCTGAGTGGAAGACATGAACAGAAACATGTTCTGATTGATGTCAGTGGGATAGGGTTTGGTACCATTTGCAGTTTCAGGCATCTATGTGGGGGCTTGGAACTTACCTCCCTTGGATGGGGGGAACTACTACTTAGAGTACATACATCCTGAAGAAATACACTTATTTGTGGTTCATTAGATACAGTACTTAAATATACATACCCTTCTCCTCCTCCCAGATAGTAGTCTCAAGTGAAATTCAATTTATGGATTATATTTTAGGGAAACAGCACTGCCTAGCCCATTGAGTAGATTCCTCCTACTTGTAGACCCATTGGATGGATGGAAAATTTAGAATATGATTGATTGGCCTCACAGGAGTCTCTGATTTGGAATGCCACCATGAGCCACAACAAGTTAATTTTAGCCTGTTCCCCTCTGTTTATTTAACTGAAGCAGTAACAAAATCCACATTTAAATATCAGAAAGTTTAAGAGTGCTTTGGGTATTGGGCATCACAGAATATAACTAATCACATTTTACTTTGAGACATTTTTACCTCACTTGTTCCTTGTTTCAGGTAAATTAATTCCACAATGGAATAGTAAGGATGGGGATAGAGTTGAGATGGAGAAACTTGTTAGAATTAGAAAACTTGATGTATTGTAAGTGAAAGTACTAGGAGCCTGTTTGAAAGTGGAGGGAGTCTGTTGGAGTAGATGGAGAGGATGGATTCAAGGGATGTTGTAAAGGAAGATTTGTTAAAGAAATAGGAGGTCCTCAGACCTTGGGTTTGAACAAGAGTGGCAAGGTTCCATTTCTGGAGACTGGAAAATAAGGAAGCAAAGCCTGTTGGCTGGGGGAAGATGAGATTGATTTTATTCACTCTGGTTTTGGTGCTGACAAGACAGATGTTAGAAATGTAAGTTTTTATTTTGGTAGAGAAGTCAGAGCTTGAGATGCTAGATTTGAGTCTTTCTCATTGGCTGGTAGTTGAAACTGTGGAGTAAAAAATGAGAGTAAAGGCTGTGTACAGTAAAAGGAGATATCTACATTTGGTTAGTAGATACCGTGTATAGTAAAAGGAGAAGATTGTCTACATATCTATTTCTCTATTCAGAGAACTAGAATAGTATTATTTCATAGAAAAGAGATAATCTGTGCTAAGTTGAAAATCCTAGGATAATTATCCAAGGTAAGCTTTTATGATTTGTCTAAGGATATGCAATTATACTTGGACTATAAATATGTAAGTTGGAGG